AATGATCTGAACATTCAATATTTGATTACATGAAACAGGCCAGGAATCCCACCTGATCCAGTCTGGGAGCGCACTACAGCATCTTTACCAGACATCAACACTGGTATGGTTTTTTTCTGGACACTGAAAACACAAAGGAACATGAGAAAAATGCAAAGAGGTGGACAACAAAAGGTAAGATGAAGCTACAGTACCTTGTCATACTGATCACATTCAACACCTTATGGAGCGTTGCCACCTGTAAAATAGTTTAGACCAGGAGAGAAATGTATGAGACTAAAGTATTAGTTGAGAGATCTGTTAAGCGATATTGAGGTTTGTTCGTACCAGATGAGGATGTAGATTCAGTTCTTCAAACGTGTTGCTGGTGAAGACTTTCTCCTTTACTTGATTTACAGCAGGACTGGGACAAAAAAAAGACAAGTAAATTGCATGTAAAGGTCAATTTTGGAAAAGACCCTAGTCCATTCACACAAGCCCAAATGTGTTGCATCTACCTGAGGACATCAGGAATCTCTGGGTTGTTTCTGAAGAGAGACGATGTCTTGATAAATGGTCTGCCATGGTCTCCGTGCTCTTCAGGAGCTTTCTTTGGAAATGTTTTCACCTTTGATGGGGACTTTGCGGCAGACTTTTCTCTCCGGTCCCCGTTCTCCTCTGTGTCTCTATTATTACTCCTCTGAGAGGGGCTTCTGGGGGTTTGCAGCTTTTGCTTATGTGTGTGCTGTTGACCAGTTTGATTAATCTTCCTCTGTTTGGAAGCGCTGCTCTCATGGGGCTCAAAGACAGCCTTCCTCTTTGATTCACACTTTTTCTGTAACATCAACACAAGCGGTACAACACTTCACAATCAGACTGAAAGAAACTTGTATGTACATCAGTGTGTAATGACAATGCCAGCAACAACATAGGGTGCAGGACTGACTCACCTGTGCCCATTTCTCTGCTGATGACAGAGGTCTTCGGTTTGTCTTTTTGTGAAACTTTACGGGAGCCGAGATGTTGAGCATCAGCACGTCCTCAGCCATGACAGTAAACAGGTTATAAACGCCGATTAAAACAAGCGGTGTAACGTTAGTAGCTAAATAGTTGTAATACACTGTCACAGACACATTAGACTACTCACAAGATGAGATACATGGCGCATTATCCTTCATTTGAATGGCGGAAATGTATGTTTCAAGCTAAATACAAGTAATGTTCACTTGTACACAGTAAAAACACAACATAAACTGTACGCATACAGACTAGAGTTCCACACGTGTTTTTTCACCATCCACTACAACGGGAAACTTCCGGGTATGACGTTACCAAAATAAAAGTCCCACTGCAGTGAGCAATGGTTTTAATTGAGCACCCTTATAAGTTTGTAAATACTTGGTTGAGAACAACTGTTTAAAATATTATAAGATACACCTCCTGTCTTAAACCATAACCATAATCAAATAATGGTTTCTATTAAAATTTTCATATTGTTCACTCTTATATTTCTACTTTTCTTCATGGTTACTTCTGCTATTACTCAAGCTTACTTTTTTAATACATAGTATTAGGACAATACTTACCTGTATTTAAAGTGTTTGCCATTGAAACTATCATTTTGATTTCAGTGGATTGAGAGCCCCATGTCATTTATAAAAGACTAAATCTGTTATAGTACATTTTATGGTGTAAAGATGTTGTGAGGCCTTTTAAAGGGATAGTCCACCCAAAAATGAAAATTCTGTCATCATTTTTTCATGTCATTCCAAACCTGTATGACTGACTTTCTGTGGAACACAAAACAAGATATTTCGAAGAATGCTGGTTTTGGGTCCCATTGTCTTCCATTGTATTTTTGTCCATACAATGGAAGTCAACGGGAACCAAAACTGTTTGGTTACCAACATTCTGTATTCCAGAGAAGAAAGAAAGTCATATAGGTGTGGAACAACGTGAGGGTGAGAAAATCATGACAGGATTTTCATTTTGGGTGAACTATCCCTTTAAGCACCTTTTCTCTGTACATTATATAAAGCTTAAATATGAATCTTTCTAACATTATAACAATAGCATTACATTTGTTCTACATCAGGGGTGGGCAAACTTGACCCTTCCAGGTCACTTTCCTTCAGAGTTTAGCTCCAACTCCAACTAACCAAACACACCTGAACCAGCTAATCATTGTCTTCAAGACTACTAGAAAGCTACAGGCAGGTGAGTTTTATCAGGGTTGGACCAAATCTCTGCAGAAAAGTGGCCTGGAAGGGCCAAGTTTGCCCATCACTGTTCTACATAGTACAGATTTTAAATAAAACCTTTGTTGAAAATCAGTCTTTGTTCAGTGTGCTACAGAACCAGAGGGAGCTCAGGGAATACTTCCT